GATATAGCAGACCAATACCTTGCTTATAATCCTATTATAAGAAAAACTGTGAAATGGACAAAGAAGGCTTTTATGTTCATATTAAATACTGCACTGTTCAATTCATTTGTTGTCTTCAAGGTTCTGAATCCAGGAAAAAAAATAAAATTTTCATCTTTTTTGAAAAATATTGCGCAAAACTGGATTGAAAAAGGATATGTTCATTCAGAGAGTCCAGGAAATGTATCCAAGAGAGTTTCTCGCGAAGATGCACCAATGAGACTTTCTGCAGACATGAGACAACATAAAATTGTGAAAATTACTAGTTCAGGCAATAAGAAGTTTCCTCAAAAGCGCTGCAGAGTTTGCAAAAAAAACGGAAAAAGGAAGGAAACCTGTTTCATGTGCTCATATTGTGTAATTCCTTTATGTATGGGAAAATGTTTTGAGGATTATCACACAAAAAAAAATTATTAAATCTAAATAATAAATCAATATATAATAAAAATAATTTTTGTTGGTATTTTTTTCTTGTTTTTTTTAAGATTAAATATTTTAAAATCTATTAATCGAAACACTGCACAGAACTATATTTCTATCCATCTTAGCAACCGAGTGAACTATTTTATCATACTACAAAAACCTAAAATTGAGAAATATGTAGCATTGAAATCAAATAGCCCTAATATTATATCCTACTTTAAAATAAAATATGCCGGCTCTCAGCTATAACAACATCACTGAGCATTTTTTTTGTGGGAGGCACTCCCTCCCTATGGGACCGACCTCGGATCCGACCGCGTCAGGCGAAAGCCCCGTCCTCCCTTTACTTAAAAAAAATTCGGCGCCCCTCCCGGTCCCATAGGGCGGGAGGGGGAATTTTTCGAAAGGGACGCCGCCGAAAAATTTTCAAAAATTTTTTTGAGGAGGGAGGAGGAGGGAGGTCGGGTACTTCCTCCCCCGACCTCCTCCAGAACTTTACCGAGTTGGGTCCCGATCGGAACGACGGTCTCGGAGATAGCAAACTTTTTGACCTTTGACCTCCTCAAAACCTCAACAAAAAAATTCGCCAATTGTCGATCTCGGGCTCGACGCGTGGCCTGAGTATAGGGCTTTCGGGGCGTCCGGGTCGGGTCCGCCCCCGACCTCAAATACTCAAAAATCCGACGCTACCTCAATATTGAGGAATTTTTGAGGAGGTAGGGCAAGGCGGCGCTCGACGCCCCTCCGCGACCTCACTCACGCCCCGAGGTCGGAATTTTCGATTTCCGATTTTGGGAAAGTGAAAAACGCGGTCCTTTTTTTTGATCCCCCCTTGTCGCCCCCCGTTTGGGAGGAGATCGGGGAGGAGGGTATCGTAAGAAAGGCCGTTCCTTCGACCACCTCCCGTATCGATCCGAACCCGGCCGGACCTAACGCGACCTTAATCGACGCGTTCAACGACAACATTGAAAAAGGTCATATTTTTGAGTTTTTGAGGTAGGAGATTTTTGAGGGCGGATCCGGCGTTTCCGACCCGAGAAACCCCCCCGTGCCGGTTTCGAAGCGATTCGGCCGGTAAACCTCGGAGATAGCAAACTTTTTGAACTTTGAGGAGGCGCCCTCAAAAAAAACTCCACAGACGGGTATAGGACATGGGCCTTCAGAACGACGCCCGGGTATAGGCGCGTCGACGTAGGTACTCGAATTTTCGATCCGTCCCATAGGAGACGAGACCCTCCCTAACCTCAATACCTCCTCAATTTTGAGGGGCGTCCTTTTTGAGGGTTCCGGTGCGCCTCGGGCCCCTCTACGCGAATATACCGTCCGCGCCCCGATCCGACCTCAAATAACTCCGAAAACCTCGAAAAACCGAAAAAGGGCTACCTCCTCAAAAGCGATTTTTTGAGGTCGCTTCCTCCTCGAGATTTTTTTCTGAATTCGATGGCGAGAACCCCGACCCCCCAGGTCGTACCGTTTCCGAGATAGCCCCCCCGACTTCGCCCCCCTGCCCCCCATCGAAAAAATAAAACCGGTTTTTTCAATTGAAATCAAATAGCCCTAATATTATATCCTACTTTAAAATAAAATATGCCGGCTCTCAGCTATAACAACATCACTGAGCATTGACGGTATTCGGTAGTTAGGTATCAGGACAATGTTTCGGCAAGCGCCGTACGTAATTAGGATTTCTAAACGGCCGGTATAGTGTTAATAAACTCTTGTGATATTTGATTGCATAACAGCAAGACGGATATTTAGCGGGTGAATATAATTTTAATTGAAATATGTTATGGTTTTCGGTTTTTCTGCAAAGTTAAAAATTGCTAGAATCTAAAATACTATTCTTTTTGTAATTTTTCTCATTCACCAATAGAGTGTGTAAAATGCACTAATCATTATTACCGATTTCGTTATTATAAGAGTTATGCGGTCTGCGCAAAGATGCTGATTATTATGGTAATTGATAAATGAAGAGCCAAAAATTGTGTGGATTAATAATTTTTCAAAGAAACTACCGCAGGCTGTGGATCTGCTGGCCTCTTCATAACCCTGTCTGAACTGATTGGCCTGCACGTATCATATATACCTGCCTGGCGGGGAGTTAATGCTTCACAGATGACCGATTTCCAAATGGAAGAGAGATGGAAACCTGTATCTCATTTTATTAGGGTGTTTGGTGATTTCGATAAACTCTCTAATCTTTCTTGGTTAGAAGAAAGTGCTAGATGCAAGTATTGGTAGTATTTCAGAAAATGTTCATTTTGTTATTTGTAAAGGGTCTTTTTTTCGATGTATAGAACTTTAAGTAGTCATTACTGTTCAAAATGGCGACCGATCTAACAGCTGTCAAGTGATTTATTCTCAGTTTGGTTTGGCAATTCATCATGAATAGAACTGTATTTCGAAAATATTTTTTTTGTGCGTAATACGTATCGCGCACTACGTCCATTGTATCGTCGACAAAATCGTCCATCAGAACAGTTAATTCAATTAACCATGTAACGTTTTCGAACCACGTTTACTCTTATTGATAACTCGCATCCCCAGAGACGCCGTACGGTGCGTACAGAAGAAGCTTTTGCTGCTGTAGAGCGTAGCATTGAGGAAGACCCGAATGAGTCCATCCGCCATCGAGCACATGAATTGGATCTGTGTCCATCCACTTTATGGAAGATTTTGCGGAAGGATCTTGGTTTACGTGCTTACAAAATCCAACTCGTGCAAGAATTGAAGCCAAACGATCATCAAGTAAGGCATAGATTCGTCGAATGGGCCAAAAACGAGTTTGCCGGTGTTCCCGATTCTCATAAGCGAATTTTGGTTAGCGATGAAGCGCACTTCTGGTTGAATGGGTACGTCAACAAACAAAACGGCATTGTATTTTTTAATAGAACGCATGACATCTTGATAATATAAATTTTTTGAGCTAAGAACTGAGGAGAAAGAAGAAACTAAGGAATTAATCACGGAATATTTTTGGACTGTATTTGATAATAGATTTAGTTAAAGATTAATTTGATTCGGTATTCGGTTTTCTATAGACGGAGTGGCCTAATATCTGATTAGTTTTAGGGTCAATTTCAAAGAACATTCTGAAGACGTCAGGAGTAAATTGGTCGATACATCAGCGAGACAGAGTCAATATCCGACGGAGGAGAAATTCAGAAGAATTGTACCTTCGCTATTTCGCCAACTTAAAAATAGCAAAACGATTATACTTACTTTTATAAATAGGCTAGATATATAAATAATTGTGATGGAACTCTGTGAACTTTTTTTGCTGGTCCGTTGTATTTTCAATTACGAAATAATAACTCAAAATTAAATACTAATTAAATAATGAATTTTCGCTTACTTTTGTAATGTTGTATGGAAAAACATTTTAAAATTTACAGGAACACGAGGTCACCTGACGCAATAAAGATAGATGTAATGTAAAGATAGATGTCTTTTCAAATTTTTGGGAAAGGACGATTCTGTAATTGTCTTTTTTAAACTTCTCCTATATACCAAAAAGTAAGTCCTGACTCACTTTTCAGTTTTGTTATGCAACCAAGAAATATAGAAAATGCCAGTTTCCACAATTTCTTTACTTTCATGGATCTATGTAAATGCCAGAACGGAGTACATTCTATTGTTATTTAAATTATTTAAGTGAGTATTTCTAATATGATAAATAATGTCATTTTTACTTTAAATATGTTATTCGAAACTTGCAACATTTTAGTTCGATTTATTATAGTTGATTTTTACATAAAGAATTATTTTGAATGTGTATTTGCTACTTTTAATAATGTTTGAGACAAATATAGTACAAAAATGAATTAATTTTCATCACATTAAATCACTTATTAACCAAATATATAAGAATTTTGAGAAAATAGATAATGAAAATATTCGCGGGTGCGGAAGAATTTACCCAACGGAATCTTTAATAAATTCAGTTATGGTCAACCCGGGTAATTGTAAGCAGAGGCAATTATATACGCTACCTAAAACGAGTTTAAATTTACCGCCAAACTGCAACGCCGCGACTCTTCGAGAAGGAGATTTCCCCTACCATTGGTATGTAAGAAATCATGTTGTTTTGACGAGTTTGTTTGGCTACATCTATGTGTTTCTCAAACCTCTGTAAAAAATTCGATTTTTCGTTTAGCACAAGTGTTAAAAGTAAGTGAATTACTATCAAAGTAAGTGGGACTTTGATAATTTTGCAGGATTATTAAGGCTTTGTTTTCTCCTTATTTACTAGTTTCAAATGTTATATTTTTATTACTAACATAATTGAAGAGTGTTTACATTTGCCCCAGACATTTTGTAAAAGTAAACACAATTTTGGGGTAAATGTAAACACTTTTTTTTTAAATTTCAGATGCTTCAGAAATATGTGCGCAAGACAAATGGCCCAGCATATGAAGACCTCATTAATGCTGTGACAGATGTTCAGGAAGCATAGCAAAATCTACCTGCAAGCTCAAGAATATTATCATGTCCCTATTGCAGTAATTTCCCAAAGGATTAATGGGCGCAAAACTACTATGAACTCCATTGGTCCAGGTCGCAAAACAGCACTGTCGGCCCAGATTGAAGATAAGATTATGGAATGTTTGCTTGCTCGAGCGAAAGCAGGCTACCCTTGCGACAAGGAGGAACTATTACACAATGACATGTTGTCTAGAAGCTAGGAAACTGGACATAATTTTCAAGTTTTTACGTGATCTAAGACAAGCTTTATCAAGCTTGGACATTTTTTCTGAAGAAAAAGAGTGCTTCATATATAATGCAGACGAAGCAGACTTTAAAAGCGATCCTAGTCGCTTACGAGCGATAGCCAAAAAGTAGATTTTCAGGGAGATCAGGTAGGGAATCTACCACTGTGCTAGCATGTCCGCATTATTGAAGCAACAATTGAAAATTAAATTACCTTGATTACTTGACTGTCACAACCATTAGACAAATGTGTCTTTGGTCCAGTAAAAACATGCTTACTTTGTAGAAATGCCATCATTGCTATCATCCTGATCCACTTCTGAAATTTCAAAACCGATTACCAGCTAGAAATAATAGGAATGGTTCTCTATTACACCAAATTACTGCCAGTCCTGAAACTGAGGACTAACAAAAGGAAAATCAGGAGAAAAATCCTAGAGAAAATGTTCTGAATCCTTACCTTAAAAAGAATATAATCGATGCAACCACCTTTTTACTGAGACTTGTACTTCTTCATGCACATCAAATAATATTTGGAAAACAACCTTTGACATAAATATTGTTCACCCCCCAAATTGCTCAGAGACGTCGCTTAGGAAATTAATTTTTAATTCTCCAGAGAAAAAGGAAACCACTGCTATTGTTGAAAGCACAATCACCCTCAAAAAAGATAGTAATGCCAAGATTGAAACAACTCAGTTATGGAGAAGTGTTAACTACAGCAGAAGTATTAAAAAGGCTTAAAGAAGCGCACCAAAAAAAAAATAGACAAGATAAAAAAACAAAAATCAACCACCCAAGACGGTGCAAAGGCCAGAGAGACTGAAGAAGCTTCGAAAAAACGAACATATGAAAAAGAAAAGGCAGAAAAAACAGAGAGTTCCTCAAGTGACAATGATTCAATTGCATCCTTCAAAAATTGATCCAAAGAAGTTATTGCTCTGAGCACCCCCTTATCAGATTTGAAAAATTGTGATTTTGTTATTCTCAAATTCACAGATGGTAAAAGAATTAGGACCATACATAGATACGTTTGTGCAGTAGAAAATGTTCATGACAGTGACATTAAAGTAGTAGCTCTCAAATCTATTGACGAAACATAGCAAAATTTCGCCATCAATCAAAGTGATGTTAGTTTTGTCCCTCAAGAACAAATATGGGGAGTTCTACCTGTTCCTATAATTAAAATGAAAGGCGAGAGAATATTCATTTTGTAAATAAAGTGCCTTGTATTGATTTTGTTATTTGTTGTATTTTCAATTACGAAATAATAACTCAAAATTAAATACTAATTAAATAATGAATTTTCGCTTACTTTTATAATGTTGTATGGAAAAACATTTTAAAATTTACAGGAACACGAGGTCACCTGACGCAATAAAGATAGATGTAATGTAAAGATAGATGTCTTTTCAAATTTTTGGGAAAGGACGATTCTGTAATTGTCTTTTTTAAACTTCTCCTATATACCAAAAAGTAAGTCCTGACTCACTTTTCAGTTTTGTTATGCAACCAAGAAATATAGAAAATGCCAGTTTCCACAATTTCTTTACTTTCATGGATCTATGTAAATGCCAGAACGGAGTACATTCTATTGTTATTTAAATTATTTAAGTGAGTATTTCTAATATGATAAATAATGTCATTTTTACTTTAAATATGTTATTCGAAACTTGCAACATTTTAGTTCGATTTATTATAGTTGATTTTTACATAAAGAATTATTTTGAATGTGTATTTGCTACTTTTAATAATGTTTGAGACAAATATAGTACAAAAATGAATTAATTTTCATCACATTAAATCACTTATTAACCAAATATACAAGAATTTTGAGAAAATAGATAATGAAAATATTCGCGGGTGCGGAAGAATTTACCCAACGGAATCTTTAATAAATTCAGTTATGGTCAACCCGGGTAATTGTAAGCAGAGGCAATTATATACGCTACCTAAAACGAGTTTAAATTTACCGCCAAACTGCAACGCCGCGACTCTTCGAGAAGGAGATTTCCCCTACCATTGGTATGTAAGAAATCATGTTGTTTTGACGAGTTTGTTTGGCTACATCTATGTGTTTCTCAAACCTCTGTAAAAAATTCGATTTTTCGTTTAGCACAAGTGTTAAAAGTAAGTGAATTACTATCAAAGTAAGTGGGACTTTGATAATTTTGCAGGATTATTAAGGCTTTGTTTTCTCCTTATTTACTAGTTTCAAATGTTATATTTTTATTACTAACATAATTGAAGAGTGTTTACATTTGCCCCAGACATTTTGTAAAAGTAAACACAATTTTGGGGTAAATGTAAACACTTTTTTTTTAAATTTCAGATGCTTCAGAAATATGTGCGCAAGACAAATGGGCCAGCATATGAAGACCTCATTAATGCTGTGACAGATGTTCAGGAAGCATAGCAAAATCTACCTGCAAGCTCAAGAATATTATCATGTCCCTATTGCAGTAATTTCCCAAAGGATTAATGGGCGCAAAACTACTATGAACTCCATTGGTCCAGGTCGCAAAACAGCACTGTCGGCCCAGATTGAAGATAAGATTATGGAATGTTTGCTTGCTCGAGCGAAAGCAGGCTACCCTTGCGACAAGGAGGAACTATTACACAATGACATGTTGTCTAGAAGCTAGGAAACTGGACATAATTTTCAAGTTTTTACGTGATCTAAGACAAGCTTTATCAAGCTTGGACATTTTTTCTGAAGAAAAAGAGTGCTTCATATATAATGCAGACGAAGCAGACTTTAAAAGCGATCCTAGTCGCTTACGAGCGATAGCCAAAAAGTAGATTTTCAGGGAGATCAGGTAGGGAATCTACCACTGTGCTAGCATGTCCGCATTATTGAAGCAACAATTGAAAATTAAATTACCTTGATTACTTGACTGTCACAACCATTAGACAAATGTGTCTTTGGTCCAGTAAAAACATGCTTACTTTGTAGAAATGCCATCATTGCTATCATCCTGATCCACTTCTGAAATTTCAAAACCGATTACCAGCTAGAAATAATAGGAATGGTTCTCTATTACACCAAATTACTGCCAGTCCTGAAACTGAGGACTAACAAAAGGAAAATCAGGAGAAAAATCCTAGAGAAAATGTTCTGAATCCTTACCTTAAAAAGAATATAATCGATGCAACCACCTTTTTACTGAGACTTGTACTTCTTCATGCACATCAAATAATCTTTGGAAAACAACCTTTGACATAAATATTGTTCACCCCCCAAATTGCTCAGAGACGTCGCTTAGGAAATTAATTTTTAATTCTCCAGAGAAAAAGGAAACCACTGCTATTGTTGAAAGCACAATCACCCTCAAAAAAGATAGTAATGCCAAGATTGAAACAACTCAGTTATGGAGAAGTGTTAACTACAGCAGAAGTATTAAAAAGGCTTAAAGAAGCGCACCAAAAAAAAAATAGACAAGATAAAAAAACAAAAATCAACCACCCAAGACGGTGCAAAGGCCAGAGAGACTGAAGAAGCTTCGAAAAAACGAACATATGAAAAAGAAAAGGCAGAAAAAACAGAGAGTTCCTCAAGTGACAATGATTCAATTGCATCCTTCAAAAATTGATCCAAAGAAGTTATTGCTCTGAGCACCCCCTTATCAGATTTGAAAAATTGTGATTTTGTTATTCTCAAATTCACAGATGGTAAAAGAATTAGGACCATACATAGATACGTTTGTGCAGTAGAAAATGTTCATGACAGTGACATTAAAGTAGTAGCTCTCAAATCTATTGACGAAACATAGCAAAATTTCGCCATCAATCAAAGTGATGTTAGTTTTGTCCCTCAAGAACAAATATGGGGAGTTCTACCTGTTCCTATAATTAAAATGAAAGGCGAGAGAATATTCATTTTGTAAATAAAGTGCCTTGTATTGATTTTGTTATTTGTTGTTCAACAATGATAATTTTTTTTCTTTACCTAATGTATTGCTATAAATTTTTTAATAAATAGGTTTTCAAAAATAAACGTCAAAACAAACTATTCCAAAAGGTTTTGTAGCCCTTTTAGACACTTGTTATCCTCTTAAGTTTGTTACTTGTATAATTTGAGTGAGTTTAGGTATGAGATGTTATTTTATCCATATGATCCATTGAAAAAAGTAAAGTTTCTGTTTTTCCATACATAATGATCAATTTTAGAATTTGGTTTAGAGTCTTTTTAAGCATATATATTCTACAATGACTTTGGGGTAAATGTAAACACTGGCCAAAATTAACAAGTTTATAACGTTAATGTTCACATGCATCCCCCAAAAAATGCATTTTCTTCAACCTGTTTCGTGATATGTCTTCACATTTGCCCCGGAGTAGCCGAGGTAATATTTATTTTTCTTAATTTTTTTAAAGTAGTCTTGGATTTTTCTTTTTAATATTATTCTCCATTTTAGTATACTTCGCGGTCTAAACAATGCCCCAAAAATGATTTTGTAGTTGTAGTAGAATCATTATTTTGCAGATATCAAACTTGCAAAAACTGTTTTCGAATTACATTATTAAATACCGTTTCGACGTATAAATTTTTTTGGCTGACTATCACCGGGATTTTTGATCATAGAGGTTTTATCAAAAACTTTTCCTTTTTCCCGCGTGTACCCGCCATAAATTTTATACCGTTCCATTTTGTCATCGCCCCAAAAGAGCTCCTGCACGTGAAAGACTGGGTTTTACTACGCCCGACAAAAGCTATATGCATATCGCAACAGAGCACCATCAATCAACACCTTCTGCATCCCCATCCGTGTTCATCGCGAAACCAGTGACGTGCCGTTCAGATTCGCAATGAGATAATGGGCATTTAAAAAAATATACCTAATGCGGGTATCATTCCGAAAAGAAAGACAAATCAGGTTATTGTTTGAGAATTA